AAAGAACAAGTCTTTCCATCAATCCTAATAAGACAGTAATTACACTGTTTACCAGGAAGAGAAATATAAAGGACCTTAAGGAACTGACCCTCTTCAATAAAACGATCCAGCTCTCCAGCAATGTAAAGTACCTTGGTCTAGTATTTTTTTTTTGATGCTAGTAGAGTTGGACTAAGTCCCTTGTACTGCGGCCACTTCTGGCCTATTGCACCAGCCCCAGATGATAGGCGAGGATGATTGTGGAGCAATTGGTGAAATGAAGATTGGCAGGGGAAACCAAAGTACTTGGAAAAAACCTGCCCCAGCGCCATTTAGTCCACCACAAATCCCACTTGACCAGACCCGGGATCAAACCTGGGCCACCGCGGTGGGGAGCCAGCGACTAACTGCTTGAGCTATGGCGTGGCCTTGGTCTAATTATCAGACAAGGGACTGACATGGAAAAAGCAGCTGGACAAGCTCATCAATAAAGCCTTATGAAGCATGTTTAGTACAACTTGGGGACTGCAGCTGCACATTGTTACTGGACATATACTGCGGTTTTAAGACCCATAATTACATACGGTGCCACAGTATGGTGGCCCAGAGTTAAACTCAAGACAAGCAAGGCAGAACTTAGCAAATTGCAAAGGATGGCTTGCTTGGGTATCACAGGAGCAATTCAAACATCTCCAACAGCTACATTGGGGGCACTCCTTGGACTCCACTCACTACATCTACAGTTGGAAGCATAGGCCAAGGCAGGAATCTACCGTCTCCAGTGCAGTGATCAATGGAAACCTAGATCCGATGGTTTCGGACATCCATACGTAACTCAGGACATGAAGAAAGAACCCATATTACAAACTGGGTCTGACAAAATGATACTGAGACATGCATATGAAAAACTCTTCACGGTCAAATTTTGTGACAGAAGTGAATGGGGAAGACATTTTGGCCCGATAGAAAAGGGGGACTGATCTGGTATACAGATGGTTCCAAAATAAATAAGGGCACTGGAGCTGGTGTGTACAGCTATGGCACGAAGTGGAAACTTAGTTTCAGCCTTGGCCAGTACACAACAGTATTCCAGGCAGAAGTATATGCAATTAAGGCAGGTATTATAGAGAATTTAAATAGGAACTACAGAAATAGGAACATCTACATTCTATCTGACAGCCAGGTTGCACTTAAAGCGCTTGACAGACACCAGATCAACTCAAAACTGGTCTGGGATTGCCACCAAACCCTCATGGAACTGGCCAACCATAACAGGGTACAACTGATATTGGTGCCGGGGCATGAGGGTATTGCTGGAAACGAAACAGCAGATCAATTGGCTACGACTGGAGATGAACAGCCATTCATAGGACCTGAACCAGCCTGTAGTATCTCTATAGGAGTTGCCAGAAAGACAATCAGGGACTGGACAAATATGAAGCACAAGAAATACTGGGGATCCTTGACTGGACTCAGGCAAGCAAAGGGACTCATACGAAGACCCTCTGCTAAAAGAGCGAAGGAACTGTTGAAGTCATACACGAACTAGCCATGATGGGTGGTGGGACTAGACACCTATTCAAACTGGGACTAAGTGATCGTCCCACTTGTGAGAGGTGTCAAGAAGAAAATGAAACAGCCACACATATCCTGCGTGAATGTGAGGCCTTAGCTTATTTAAGATTACATCACTTGGGTCAATACTTTATGGAACCAAGTGACTATTTCAATGCCCCCACATACAGAATCCCGCGCTTCATTCGAAGTGAAGAATTGCTGAGGGGATAATCAAAAGTGGAAGCACAACAGATCACTGTAGGTTGCGGTGCAAGGACCGAGAAGGCCCACCCCTTATACATTCATTTATTCATTTCATTCATTCATAACCTTCAGTATCAAAAATACATACTTCTCAGTTTTCTTCTTGAGTTGTTTAATAATGCTTTCAATACTGAGGCTACACAGTGTCTGACTTTTGTTATGCAGTACCTACAATGTGAGAATAACTGCACGCAAGTGGCAAATCGCCGGTCACGGTAGCCGAGCGGTCTAAGGCATGCACTGTCTTCACTCGCTCGGAAGCCGGGATCGTGGGTTCGAATCCCACTCAGGGCATGGATGTTTGTGTGCCTTTTTCTGTGTTTGTCTACAGGTAGAGGCCTTGCGACAAGCTGATCACTCGCCCAAGGAGTTCTACCGTATGTGTAAGATCTAGAAAGACCGAAGTGAACGGAGTTCATGGAGGTAGGCCTAGGCCCACTGGGGCCGTAGTGCCAAGGAAAAAAAAAAGTGGCAAATGACATCATAAGTGACCTAGCAACACTGTGACAACAAGTTAACCCACTAACATAGCCAGATGGGTTCCAACATATAGAGGACTCCCTGTACTAAAACATGAGATGAGTGACAATAAAGATACAAGATTCCCAATGTGGGAATAACTTTACAATACTGTGGCTATATACTTGAGACTTATCTGCATGAAGTAAACTATAACCAAATTTTTCACATTTGTGTTTCATTTATACGTAACAGAACTGACACAGACATAAACAAATTAAAATATATTAAATAAAATCAAAGGAAACCTAACTTAACCTGTCACTAAATTACAACTGTTTGGCAAAGCATAAAAATATGTACAAATATGATAAAAATATTTGAGCTTCAGTAGTTCAATTACATGCCTATTGATAAACAACATATCTACGTTACAATTATGCATCAGGAAAATGAGGCATGCATCAATGATCACCATACTGTATGTTTCAATGCTACCTTTATACTAATGAGCCCTCATATCAACACTGGGTATCATCTGCCTCAGTACAGCACTGAACAACAGTCAAATGTTGGCCAGCAATATTTCCAGTATTACATCTTAGTCACTACTTCTGTCTCACTACTGTAACATGCCTGGCCGGTGTGTAATCAGATTTTGCAACAGCATATGTATAAGTGTGTGATGCTCAAATGAGGATTTAAAAGCAGCAATGTATTACCTGAATTATCTTCATTGAGTCTTGGTACGCCACACACAGGCCTGACAAAAAAAGTCCCAAAGTACAGAGGGGGAAAATTTCCCCCTTTTACTACCTTCTACAGGGTCAATAAACTAAAAAAATTTTACTGAAATTTGAAGGGATCAGGTGGACTGAAATGATCTGACATGGAATCATCCCTAACATAAATTAACCAACACAATAAAATGTGTTAATCAAAAGCAAATTCTTTTATGTTATTTCAAATCATCTATTATTTAGGGAGGAACTTACTGTGAATTTTATCACTCTTTGAATGGACTGTAAGGTTAGCAACAGGTGTGTGAAGAATAAGTTCATGTCTAATACTTATCTTACAAACAATACAGTTTAAAAAGTATCTACAGAGTATTCAACATAGAAGCATGCTGCTAGAAACAGCATGACAGTATTTGCTACATGACCATAGAGAGACCAGTACAGGGGTCTTCTACGCATGCAGCACACTATCTCTCTACTTAAACAAGAGCTTCATTACTGATTACTATAAAACAGTAACACATACTTAACAAATGTTATAAGAACTGCTCTAATTGACCATCTTCTGCCTTCCAGTATGCCTTGCAGCTTCAAGTTCTGCAACATTTTCTGAAGTTCATCCTCAGAAAGGGAAACATGCACACTGCAATGGAGTGTGGATTTTCTTCACTCCATATTCATTATATACTGCATATTAATACGACCATCAACATAACCAAGGTAATGAAAGAAATGCAGCAATACCACAAACAAACAATACAGTATGTTTTGTCTGTGAGACCTATGACAATGGGTCATTTATGCAGTCATAAAATTTGCTGTGATAGGTATGGCAGTGTGTGAAAGCTGTGCCTTTGCAGATCTTTCCATTTTGATGTCTCAACTGGTTAATTTTGCAATGGGGTATATGATTTAACATTGAGTCTTCACAGTCAAACACATCATAAGAAAGCAAACTTAAAGAAAATTAATTCGGAATACCACTCATAAATACAAATAAGACAAAATTCTCACAAAATCCAGTGTATCAAAGCTTGTCAAAAAATAGCACTTGAGCTCACTTAGTCACAAAAACACACTTCAAGAATGAGTGTGCTAACTTAAGAACACAGGCACAGTCAGAGTTCAGTCCTCACAAAACTGCAAAAACAACTGGCACAGGGAACTGGTCTTCTATATTCGTGACATTTAGTCTTGTGGCTGTGAAGAGTAATTAATTTTTTTTAAATTTTGCCCATACAAAATGACTGCATATGAGCTTAAAGAATCAGATTATGAAGTAAGAATTATCTTAAAGAGGTTACACACTTCCATCGAGTGTGACTAACAACGGAACTGTTTAACCTCTTTATGATATTGTTAGTGTGATAGACCAGAATGAAACAAAATCAAATTTAGGAGTTATCTCTTTGCAGCGGCTGCAGCAAAATGTACATGGCAGGATCATGGAACCACAAGTGCTGTTCATAAGCAATCATGCACAGATTACCTTAATGGTCATGATATGCAAAATAAACGAATATGGAGTGATTAAAATCTTCATGCCATTAAAGAAGTGTCATTACACAATATAAAAGTTGGGGTTCTGCTGTAAATTTACAGTGAATCATTGTCCCATCATTTTTTTTTCAGCAAACTTTGAATTCAATTTTAATTTCATCTTCAACATTGGTTAACCAGAATTTTAGGCTCAAGAGAGCCAGTATATAGGTATTTCCAGCAAGACAATGATGCAGCACATACTGCTGCCCACTCTACACGAGGTGTCTGAGAACAGAATAATCAGCAGAGGACTCTGGCCTCCTACATCCCCTGATCTCATTTATTGCAATTAGCATCTCTGAGGCAATTTTACAGGCAAAGTGTACTACTACTACCACCACCATCACCACTACTACTGCTGCTGCTACTACTACTATGCACCACCACCACTACTACAAAAGCAACCACATTCACACAAATCATTACAGCAAACAAACAAACTTGCTGTACCGAACTTACCACTATCTGAATAATGAAAATTCTCGAAAAATTTGAGACATTCCTCCAGGCCAGCAAATATAGTAAACTCTCCTTGAAAGGGATTCTTGCGGAAGTATAGATCAAATACTGCCGTGTCATTGATCTTTCCTGATTTCCAATATGCATATGCCATTGTAATCTGGTAGAGGTCTGTGTGTGAAAATAGGCAGATTATCACAACTCAAGCTTCATAACCAAAACAAAATGTTTGAATTTCCTAAATGCATTTGGTGATTGCAGGACTGACCAACAATCAATGTAAATGAAGCAATATAACTTGAAGCAGATTGAAAGTTAATATTGTATTACTTCAAATATAAGACACACATTTTACACATCTTTCCCATTGAAAAACTGAGGTGCGTCTTAAATCTGAGAAACGTGCACCTTTCTATTTCCCTTCCCCCTTAAAACCCACATAAAAAACCTGGATGCATAAAAAATTTGTGGGAGTCCTACAAAACTGAAGCAACAATGAATATAAACTTACCGGTGTGACATCAATACAACTAACGTGAACCCCATTCACAGTCGATGTGAGAAATAGTTCTGGGTGCTTGCTTTTATTTAATTCGGAGTAACAGACGGAATTGTGAGGGATCATAAAAGCGTTCCAAACAACAAATTAAAAAACACTAATAATAAAGCATACCGTCATACTACGTACAATCACATCATTATTTATTACCCATTCATAAAATGCTTAATAAATATGTAAGTATATACATATACGTGAGTATATTTTCGTGTCATGACAAAACATAATCTGCTTCAACTCATTTATAAACGTGTTCACATTATACATGCCGAATTATCATCTGAAAATTAACTACTGGGTCCTACTATCCATTTCTATAAAACTGTTACAAGAATAACAGGTTTAGAGTACAATAAAGGCGAGAGAAACGAAAACCTGCCTGTAAGCAAAGGTTGAACGACTCCATTCTGCCGCGCTCTCTTTCGCCGGTCTTCAGTACGGAACGTTCGTCCATCAGCCATGGTTACTCCGTAATTTGGGTTATGTTTTCCTTGTATTCTCTCCTCACTGCAACTATGGGCGGATAACCACCGACTGGCATTTTTTCGGCGGTCACGCTCCTTTTTGCTTCAGCACCATTCACTACGTAACGAACGTAGTTTAACAAACACACATCACGATAACAAGTTGCTAGGGTTGGACTATCGATCATTTGAAGGTCAACAAAACGACGAGCGACGAAGCACTACTAATACTGCTAAACATGATTGCCATAACTATAACTTAACAATATTACATTTACGAGTTACGTATGAAGATATGTAAAACATGCAATACATATGACAAGGTTGATTGTATTATTATCACACGCGTATAGAGCATACATAACACATTAGTATATATAGAATATTGCCAGTTGGGCAGAATGTGAAGTCATATTTAGCGTATTTTCGTGAGTTACTGGCAACAATGAAGTTGGTTCAATTTTGAACGTCACTTATTCAGGTCAAGAATGTAATTGCATATTGTCCTCCGAGTATTACACAATTTTGTTAAGATAGGCGATGCATACGCAATTTGTCTTTTACTTTTTTTACTTGTCATCGAAACAAACTTGACTGTAATGGAAGAAGAATTTAATTTTTCTTTTATGCCTAAAGTTACAAGGACATGATTGTTAAACTCAAGGACTGCCATACATCCCGGGATTTCCCTTAGGATTCAATTAGGAAAAAAACATTGCACGCAGATTTGAGGTTCTCGCAGCGGTATTTATGAAGAGTACTATCTTCTGGGATATAGCGCTGTGTAATGCGTCGAAGATAAACCGACGTTTCGGAGAAACATACCGCCTTCATATTCAGGGCCGAATAAGCCGCGAAAGATACCAGCTTGGCACTTGCTTTCACTGACTTTCAAATGACTACACAGGGTACACAGATAGTACGCTTCATTGTGTGGAGAAATTAGCTTAGTAGTTGCTGCTTGAGAATAACAAAGAGCACGCAGTGCATCTCTGCGTGCTTTGACGAGATCATAACTAACAAAACTGCAAAAGAGTTGTCTTCTGGCGTATGCCGTGTAGCCTGCTGAAAATCAACAGACGTTTCGGGGAAACATACCTCTATCTTCATGGTCGCAGAAGAAACCTTCACGAAGCAGTTAGGAAGCAGAGCAACCTGGTCGGTCGGTAAGGTAAATTGTTGCTGGCATTCACCAGCACAGTCACTCCTGGCTTCGCTGTTCACTAGATCCATAACCAAGCTTTTCATTCTTTCCTAGATATGTACGTATTTGGAAATGAGGCCTCCTCTTCGACGAAGGAGGGGTAGGTCTTTCTATGTAGGTGCTAAGTTTGTTGCAACGTAGTTTCAGCGCGAATATATAGGTGCTATCACGACGTCCAAATCACTATGGACTCTGTGCATCCTTTTATCATCGCAGTATACTAAGAAATATGGATACAAGGTATACAGAGGTTTCCTGTCACTGATGGCTTGTGCAGCATGTCATGCCTTAACTTCAACTACTCTGAAACTGTAAGTAGTCAGCTGAAAGGGCGTAGGCCTGACCGCTGCCAAGTTTAAGCCTTCCCATGTCTGGTTTCTCCTTCTCTTACACGTACGTGGCACGTACGTTTGGATTTATACGGTTTAGGATAACTTCTACCTGTGTCCTGCATAATTAAGTTACGTAGTCGTACAAGTAGGAAATGTTGGAAGTGTAACCGTCCATTAAGTCTTATATAATGAATGTCAGTTAGGATTGACTACCTGTTAAGATATAACATAATTTACAATCAAGTCACGTTCTTGTATTTAGAACGAGACATAAGCCCATTCTTGCCGAGAGATGGTAATGCTCATTGTATTATTTCTTGGAATTCTTAATTGTTAAGAGATCGTGAAAGACTTTTAGTAATCTAAGATATTTAACGGTTGGAACTAGCTATAAAATAATAGAGTGTAAGTTGGAACACATGCAAATTTATAATTTATCCAGAACAGTTAAAGAACGTTACAGTTTTAAAGGATTAAATTCATCCAGTAATCAAATTTCATTGGATGAAACATGATTCTGTTAATCGTTTAAGTACGAATAGGGACCAACAGTGTAAGTTGTAGGGGGTTCTATGTTCAAAATTTACCGGTTGGTGCCTTTAGCGCTTTGTAAGGAGTGCATTCTCGAAATCTCTCCGTGGCGGACTCTTGTGCTGTACAGAAGCAAAATCCATATCGCTCCGTCTAAGTATAGAGTGGCGCACGAAATGACCCAGCATTTTATCTAGTAAGAAAATATTTTACTTCAGCTACAGTACTAGAAACTCACATACAAAAAGAAAGACTATTGCGTGGAGATATATCCTTTGTGAATCAAGTGTTCAATATAACCACCATTACGTCTGGCAACTTCTTTACCATGAGCTATGACGCTGTCGCTTATTCGACGGCACATATCCTCAGTGTCCTCACTTGCCTCATTGCAGGCTTCAATAGAGCAAGGTGAGTTTCAGGTGCCGAGGGCCCATCACTTACGTACAGCCTGTAAAATATTGGTGCACGAATGGAACCCTTAGGAGCCCCTGCCGCTATTTTTCTTCGCGTAGAAAATTCGCCTTCTACCAAGAATTAAGTTTTCTTTCGGTGAGAAAAGAAACAATTAGCTTAATAAAACTTGTAGAAAAATTCCAATTCTGACAATTTATGTAGTAGGTCACAGTACCATGTTGTGCCGAAAGCTTTCTCGCTATCCAAGAACACAGCAGCCGTCGACATATTTATTGTTGTTGAAATTTAGGGTGACATTAATCCACCAGCGTTATTCATTGAAGTGTCGCACTGTGATCTGCTCGACAGCCAGGCTCACTTGCATTTAGTAAGATTCTTTCTGTAGTGTTTTTGGGTAATTCTTAAAATCAGCTTCTGAATACTTTGTCCTTAGTGGAGAAGAGGCTGGTAGGGAGTGAAATTTGGGGAAAATTTTTCGTTTTTGCCAGGTGCCTCCTTACAAGGCATCGGGATGTGGCCAAACCGAAGGTAGTGATTGAATAAACGTGTTAAATGTACAAGACGTCTTCTTTGAAGATGCCGGAGACATCCATTTATAATGCCACAAAAACCACAGGCCTTTCCTGATTTCAAGGATTGCATTTCTTCGCAGACGTCATAGGGTTGGAAACTGACAGGGAAATCTTTATCGACGGAAGGCAGCAGGGCTTCGACTAGAGCCTTCACATGTCTTCTATGGTCACAGTCGCACAAGTCATGCGCTTTGAACTGGTTGTCTAAGCAGTCTGCCATTATGTTGGCTCTATCGATTGGATAGAATATGAGGTATAAGGGACTATGAATTACAACTGGTGCCTTTGGTCCGCCCCCTTTTGAGAGGGATTTTGCAATGTTGCTTGAGGTGTGCCTTCGCAGTTGGCCGACTTTAGTTATGCAAGCAACCTTTCCATTTGTCCGCGCCATAGCTCAAGCGGTTAGTCGCTGGCTTCCCACCGCGGCGGCCCGGGTTCGATCCCGGGTCTTGTCAAGTGGGATTTGTGGTGGACAAAGTGGCTCTGGAGCAGGTTTTCTCCGAGCATTTCGGTTCCCCTGCCAATCTTCATTCCACCAATTGCTCCACAATCACCCTCACCTATCATCTGGGGCTGGTACAATAGGCCAGAAGTGGCCGCAGTACAAGGGACTTAGTCCCACCCTACTAGCAATAGAAAAAAACCTTTCCTTTCTCTGTCGCAGCACTGGAGAGTTCTGTAATAATCTGTAACACCATGTTGAAGGCAAAGAGTACGTCGTCCGTTGAAATAATATTTACATTTTTAGCCTGCGCTGACTGACCTAGTGTCCTGATGCGCATTTTTCCCCTAAGACTCTTGCTGCTTTGTTGTGATGGTTGCTGCCGCTGCTGCTGATCGGAGGTGCGAATAGCGCGGCGAATGATCGATCAGGTGTTGCATATTTTGAGAAGAGTGTTCTGCCTTCTGACCCCTATGTTGTCGACCGCAGGTTTCTTCTGCGCTGTAATCCTGTTTTACATGGATGCAGCCTCTGTAACTTGCTGGCTGTGGCGACTCCTCGTCTTGCAGGGCGCAATTGCAGCAGGTTGAGCTACTGTCTAAATTATATTTCTCTGGGCACCCACGATGGCGATGTCCCCTCACCACACCACAGGCAGCTTGGGTGCTGCCTGAAGTGCACCCAGATGTGGTCTTGTATAAACCCGTTTCGGGATTTATAAGCTTCGACCTTTATAACTACGTTACCGAGTTTTGTAACGGATTTGATCAACGCGTCGCCAGGCAACAACTCTGTAAACACGGTCAAACACGAAACAATAGAAGAAGATATGTTTTCTGTAGATCCGACGCGCCAATAGACTGGCTGGATAGCGATCACATAATACCCGTATATGTACTCTAGGTCCGTGTCCGTGCCTGGGCTATATAAGTGAGGAGAATTCCTAAGCTGCAGCAGTAGCGACAGAAGCACGCAAACAGTCAAGCAAGCAAACAAGCAAGCAGTAAGCTTGAAGAGTACAGAAGAGTACAAGAAATCAGCCTGTGAAGATTTAACGCGTGGTTAGAAACCTTTATTTGTGCTCTAGTGCCGTTGTATTGGGAGCATGTGATTTAGGGAGACTTTTATTAGTCCCTGCTTTATAAATCCGTGAAGACTACTGGAGATGGACTGAAGAAATTAGCGTGGGGTGCTTTGTAGTGTGCAAATCAGTAAGTGTTGTTATGACCTGTAGGTTGTTAATAAAACAAATTACCAATAAGAACCCCGTATTTAGAAACTGATATACGTGACAGTATTGAAAATTTTAAAGATTAATGGAGCTTTTTGATTCCTTGCTAGGTTAACTAGGAAGATGGGGAGGGAGGTGTGTGTGACCTCTCCTTCTGGAGTAAAACGTTCGGCGCCTTAGTGTAAAATGTAAAAAAGTGGACATTTTTCTCAGGGAGGAACTTTTTTATGGGCTTATATTGCACCGAACTTTTAGTTGTTATCCGCGTTCCGGTTGCAGTGTTCACTGCCTCTGTGGTCTAGTGGTCAGCGTTCGATTCCCGGCGTTACCAGATTTTTTTCTGAGAAGTAGTGGGTCTGGAACGGGGTCCACTTGGCCTCGTGATGATAATTGAGGAGCTATTTCAAGGAAATAGCGGCTCCGGTCTAGAAAACAGAATAACGGCCGTGGAGTTCGTTGCGCTGACCACGCGACACCCTTTA